ACCATGTAAACTTGCTAGACCGTGATGTTATACCGTTCACAGGGTTTTTTTCCTCCCTTGCTAATAACTACTTATATGAACATTTCATTTTTATATCTAAGCATACCAAAGATTTTCAACATTGATGTTTGAAAAGGCGACTTTTTATTCAGAGAAGAACACTTGCGGGAAATAGATGGAAACAAATCATTGCATCAATATCAGTTTCCTTGCATATTTTTACTTTAACATGAAAATCAACATAGTTTTTAATGCTTCCTCACAGCAGTTCAGTGAGATAGGGGAAAGTTTATACATTTCCATGATCATGTGAGCTTGTTGAGGAATGTTGATGCAGTTGCAATGGCATCCCCAGCAATGGCATCAATCATAGTAATGTCTTTATTCTTGCGACTGGCAGCAGAAATTATACATTTCCATGATCATATGAGATAGTTGAGGAATGTTGATGCAGTTGCAATGGCACCCCCAGCAATGGCATCCATTACAATATTGTCTTTATTCTTGTTACTGGCAGCAGATATCAGAGCTCCTGTCAAAGCACCTCCAAGCATGGCATTCTTCTGCAAGGGATTCAATGGCCGAACAAATACCGTTAGAAGTAAAGCTGTTAAATAGAAATAAGAGTATATGCATATATTCGGAAAGTATACAATGGATGCTCACACAGCATGCATTGCGCACAGACACACACACACATGCTCTGTAATATCAGAAAAGGACTGACACTGGAACTTTAAGTTCCAACATCATGTTAACCATCAACCAGCAAATAAAGTTTTATGCAGAATGAAATTGAATGACCAAAATAATCTTAGTTGCAATAGTTTTATGGAGTAAAAAGCGGTGCGTATTTATACAATTCAAGCCACGGATTTTGTCTTTGAAAACTTAGTTTATCACACATATCCTTCTAATTTTGGCAAGATGCACACCAGCAGAAGTAGCAATCATTTAGCGCAGCAAACATGATCTGTCCCCAAAAATTGTTCTCGGGTCTCACAATCAAAGTAGATGCAAACTCAAGTGTTCTTGAGAAAGAAGGATTATAACTGGAAAAGAAAAGGTTAAAAGAACCAGCAACCTCGTTGTTGAATTCTCTTATGATTATATTCGGACCCCATTGAGACTATAGTTCATATAGTAAGGTACAAACAACGTACCCAGTCATGAGTGCCACGAATTCTCTCCATTCCATATTCCATCCCAACATACATGCCAGCAACAGTTCCTGCACATTCAGTATGAGAAATTCTTAAAGCTGTTTAATTTTACCGATACAAGGCAACTGAAGAATTTGCCAAGAAGCATGCATGATTCCCTAACAGAAAAGGTTGGCTAAATATACACAAGGCAACTGAAGAATTTCCCTAACAGAAAAGGTTGGCTAAATATAGCATGCAAGGCAGCACATACGAACCCCAATAAGCACCTTCCTTGCACATCTTCTTCAACTGCAACAACAGCAATTACATCAGTATGAAAGAGAGAATTTTTTGCATTCTTCACTTGTTGCTACCTTGACTATCAACTCAAACTAGCTACCAGAAATCTTCTAGGCTAATTTTGTTCGACCATCAACAACTATTCCCTACATATTTGGTTTGAGTTGTCCCGTGAGACAATTCGAACTTCAAAATCAACAATTACCCATAATCCAAAAGGCTTCAGCTGACTTTAGTCCTCTACAGGAACCCCAACTCTCAAGATGATGCTTAACATTGAAATGCAACCATAAGACATCCCTAGTGGAAAATGAAACTTTGTGGCTACCCTTTACCAAAGAGTATGAAGCAGCAACTGGCCTCACAAAAATTTCGAAATACCATCATTCCATGGCTACCATTTGGCTAGTGCATGTCATTAACAAAAGCTGGTTAATGGTCTTCCTAGAATAACCAGAGTCTTACATCGTTCTTGGATATCTAGGGCAATTGCAGATATATACAAATATCAAGAAGACTAAACTAAGAAGAGCAGGTAAAGCATGTAGCCGCATTTGAACATATCCATCATGGATCGGATAATTTATAGATGGAGGAAACATTAGTCGATGATATGACTATTAAATCAACTCGTTCTTCCACTGATTTCAAATTGGCATCGGTTCATCAACAAATGTAACTTGAGAAATCTGAACAAATTGCAGACTTGTATTATAGTATGCAAGACATAACTCACTAACATCACCAAAAACAATTGGAGGAGCGTAAAGCATAATTATTTCCTATATATGTATGCTCACCGAATGCTCAATCTTGCGACCTGAGAAATTCCCTGCAAAAAACCAGCCGGTTACTGTAGTCTAGAACTGGTAATCAGATAAGATTAGTAGTGATTAACTGATTTTGTGTGCAATATGATCTGATCATCTAAACACAATATACTCCTGTAGATAACCAAAAACAGGCTTCTTAATTATACGATGACACCTTCTTATAATTCACGTGAGTTTGAAAGAAAATACGAGAGAATCAGATTGAGCACCTCCTTTGACGACATGATATGCATCCTCAGCAAGTGATTTAGTTGCTGCAACCTGAAACAAAACATGGCAAATGGTACGCAGTTCAAGAAATGGAGAGAAACAAATTAAAGAACAGAGAAATATATAAAGGAAGAACTATACGTACGGTGCCAATCTTCAAGAAACCATCAACGGTGACATTGAGGAAGGGATTACCCGTGTCGATTGCCACATTAAGTTTTGGAGTTGCGAAAGAAGCCCCGAAACTGCTTCTTGGCATATTGATTCTTTCTTGTTTCTCTTTCTTCTTCGCTTCAATTCTTCGACCTCAGCTTTCTAGCTCTAGACGATATTTGTGTTCGTGATAAGTAGTAACTTGTGTGTCGGCAAAACAGAGAAGGATGGATTGTTTATTTTGTTCTCATGCAGTTAAGATAGATATTTTTTAAAAAGTAACAATTTAACTTTAAATAAATAAATAAAATATATATATTATCAGGTAGGTTTTTTAATTAATGTGTTTTTTTGTTTTTATAAAAATATTTTGTATCAGTACCATGATTTTTGAATAAAAAACTAAAAACCATTAAAATAAATATTTATAAATATCTCAATCAATAATTTATCTTTTCAATGAAAATTATTGCTTTTTAAATAGAAATTATAATTTATCTTTTCAATCATAACTCTCTTTCATTCTTCTATTATTATTATTTTTTATGAAAATTATTGCTTTTTAAATAGAAATTTATTATGTTAAAAGCAAGGCTTAATAAAAAATAGAAAAAATATATTTAATATGAAAAAATTATATAAAACTTTTACAATAAAAAATAATTATTATTTTATTTTATTCTCATTTAATATTTATGAGCATATATTTTTTTATACACTTTGCATATTAGGTTCACATATAATAATTCATAAAGTAGTTTTTAATATTATCTTAAAAAACTAAAATCTTATTTGAAAACTATGAGAAGTGTGGATAATTTTTTAAATACCATTATTTATTTATAGTGAATTTTATTTAAAATAGAAGAGTAATTAAAAAAATAAAAGATAATATAAAAAAAGGCCAGGTGTGGACATATATAAAAAGAAGCAAACGATAACATATAAAATGCTGCTAATATAATTCGAGATGATGAAATTATAAAAATATAAAATTTGTTGGGAAAAAAAATTGAAACTTGTCGTTTATAGTGAATTGTGCCCTCTTCTACAGTAAGTTACGATGAAATGGGATTTTATTTTATTATTTTAGCCATAATTATAATTGTAATTGTAATGCATCATATTATTTGTTTGTTCAGTCGCTTATGAATTAAGGATCGAGTCAATTAAAGATATATATAATTTGACCGGGTCTCCTCCTCTTCAAAACCTCATAAGCTTAGCGTTCGGCGGTGGTGGAGGAAGCGGAGGTGATCGTACATTTTGGGTTCCGTTTCTTAGGTGCACTCCACATGTTCAACTACGAATGAGATAAGATAACATTATGTGCCTGTTTGGAACGTGGTGTCCACAGAATTTTAAATTTTTATTTATTTTATATTTTTATATCGATGTTAATATATTTATAAATAAAAATATATTAAAAAATAATTATTATTTCACTCTAATATATTTTTAAATAAAAATTTATTAAAAAATAATTATTATTTCACTCTCAAACACATGCTTAAACATCCCTAAAAAATTCTAATTTAACTGTTTCTTCTATTTAAATTCAGAGGGGGTTCAAATATATGTGCATTAAAATTTATTTTTTATTGAAAATTAATTATTAATTATTTATTTTTAATTCATTTTAATATACTAATATTAAAAAAATATTTTATTTTAATATTTTTAATGCGGTCCTTTACAACGAAATTGACATTCGTCAAATTTTTTCAAAAAAAAGTTACCAACAAAACGCAAGGGACAAAAACAAAACTAAAATCATTTAAAATTTTGTTTAGCATCCATAATATCACACCCACCAGTTCTGTCCAATCCCAAAGGTTAGTGTGTGTGTGTCTATAATCAATTTTCTTTCCATTTATGTTAAATATACTACCTCTCAGTCACAAAAAGTTAGCAACCACCGATGCCGATGCTAAAAGAAAAGGGCAAGTTAATTTTAATTTTAATTTTTGTTATATTCCCTTTTTATATTATTAAATCTTAAAATCCATTGGAACCTTTTGTTTTTATGAAGAATGCTTTCCTTGAACCTGTACTCTATACATGTATCATAAATTTTGGCGAGTGACATTGAATCCATAGGTTTTTTTTTTTTTTGAATTTCATGAATTTTTTATCTATTTAATAAATTTGTTAAAAGAATCGTATATTTAAACCGATCTCTTTTGTTTTGGTTTTAACTCGGGCACAAAGATACATCGTCTCGCCATACCGGATCAAACAATAGTGAACCTACCCGTCCAATTAAAGCCCAAAAATAAATGAAAGGCCAACTGCCCAACCACCATTTAAGCCCACTACAAGGCAAGAAACAAGCGGCTCCCCCATACTAAAAAAGAAAAAAGTGGATACATATCAAGCCAGAAGCCACTATAAGAATCTCTTCAACGGTGCAGTACAATCTCCTCGAGATTCCCGCTACCGACTTTTGCTGCCACTTTAGCCCATCGAACGGATAATCACACGCCTCGTAACCTTCCAACAAAAAATTACGTCACACAAGACAGCTTTTAGCCACACAAATCAAAGTGCTTTTTATTTTTTTAACGAGGTGAGGAAGAAGGCCAGGAGAGCTTACTTGGGTCAATGGAGGTGAGCACTCCAGTGTGGTTGAAATCACAGTCGAAGTCATGACGACCAGAGGCCTGATAGAAGGCATTCATTGCATATGATGCATGTGACTTCACAGTATCAGGGACAAAGCAAGGCCCACCTTGTTGTATGGGCTTGCAATCAACTCCATTGCTACACACGTAATCGATGTTCTTCTGTAGCGAGTCATCACTAGCGTCTGATTTTGGCACGCACCACTGCTTCTCCCTCCCGGGACTAGACGATGATGGGGCATCCGCTGCCGTACCGGATGTCGGAGCCAGTGCCTTTGACGTGCAAGAGAACAGACCACACGGTCATGATGGAATCCCAATTCAAAATTTAAAATCTTGAGAGCACTATGCAGCAATGATATTATATTAGCCTAAAGTGCCTCACCAAAATAATTCAAAACAATATATTCCTTTCATAAAAAAAAAAAACCATAAAGGGCAGGACACTTGTCCTCGCATATTATTTAAAATAATATATATATTATTTTAACAAAGAAAATACTGAAACCATTATCAAACCCAACAACGAATAGATAAGTAACACGACATTTGTCCTCGCACCGCACAGCACAAAAGCTGCGTAGTGTCAGATCTTAACTTGAAAAATCAGCTTCTAACTAGACCCTGTTTCTAGCTGCATGTATTTTTCCTGGAGTTTCAATAATACTAAGAATAATTTTAAAAAATATTATTTTTATATATTAATTCTTCCTGGAGTTTCAATAAAATTTAATTTTTTAATTATTTTATATAATAATATTAAGAATATTTTTAAAAAATATTATTTTTATATATTAAAAAAATAATTAAAAAACAATCGTAAGTACGGACAGCCCAATGGGCGTTTAGCCAAAACGCATCCCTTTCTGAATCTCTTACGCGTTATTATTACCTAGAAATAAAATAAAACTCTTATACATCTTGATTTAAATATTTCATACCACAAGAAATTAACAATTCTCAGCCTACCATCAAAGGAGTAATAATGAATTTTTAGTTGTGAATTAAGTGGGAAAATCATCCGGCTGTAATTAATTAAGGCCATTAAAGAGCAGCGAAGAGAAATTAATTACCTCTACTGATGTTTTGTTTCCAGTAATTAAAAGGAGTAAAGATGAAGTTTTAGAAATTACCTTGTCATTGCGTAAAACTCCGACGTCATAAACCGGGGTAAGATCCGGCTTGAACAACCCGAAATTCCTCTCTGAAACCGAGGGTTTAAGATTCTCGTTAAACAAAGAGAAAACGTAAGTCTCGAAAGTTCTATTAGGCATCAGAGGCGTTCCTTTTCCTGAATTCACGTGCTTCACGAGGTTCTTGTTGTACGAGATCGCGTTCTCCATGCTTACACCAGGTTGATTCGGGTCACCCACGGACGGCCAACCCGTTTCCGCCACCACAATGTCAACATCACCATAACCCAACCTCTTCATCGCCGAATAAACCGCATCAAGCTGAGCATCGAACATGTTGGTGTAATTGTTTCCCGTCGCCGCGTCGAAAACTCCGCTGTTTGGCTTAAACAGCGCGTAGTTTAAAGTCTCTGCCTTGAATCCAAAATAGGGGTATGGATTAACCATGAAAGGAGACTTTGTCTTGCGGTGATAATCGAGGAACGGAGCAAAAATTCTTTGATCGTACCCTTTTCGAAACCGGCCCGTACTGGGAGGTTCAGATGAGGATAATATACCTAGAGAGTGAGGAGTCGCGACGTGAATAGTAGTGATATTAGCAAGTTCAAGTGCTGATGTCAGGGCTTTCATAGCAGGCAAAGTGTGTGCTATTAGAACTTTGTCGGAAGTGGCAAGGACCTCGTTTCCTACTGCAATGTATTTGATGGATGTTTGAGGATGGAATGGTAAGATGTTAGCGGCGATCCAAGATTGGGCAGCAGGGAGCTTGGCAAGAGAAGGGATGTCGCCGTTGCCGACGGTGACAGTTACTGAGATTCCAGTGTTGGCAAAGGCGCGGAGAATGTCCTGGTTGGTGTCAAAGATCTTGACCCGGTCTATGGTGGTTTGAGTTTTAAGGAAGCTAGCTACTTGGGATGGTGAAGGAAGGTTGTTTGCTACGGTCCCGTAGTTAACACCAACTGTGTAGGCGGCGGAGCTGGAGCTGGAGCTGAAGTGGTAGTAGAAAGTGAATAAGAGCAGGAAAAGAGTGCGAGGTTTTGCCATTTTTTCTGAGCTGATCAGTGAGCGGAGATTGAGAGTTGAGCCGGCTTTGGTAAAGGAAAGTGATTAGCCAGTTTTGCTGTTTCTGGAATTTAGTGTACTGAGGTTGCTTTTTTATTTTGGTTTTTTAAATTTATTTTTAATAATAATATATCAAAATAATTTAAAAATATAAAAGTAAGTTAATTTAAAATTAAAAAAATATTTTAATTTTTTTTATGACGATGCTCTTAAATTGTGGTAACCGTTAAAAAGCGCCGAGCGTGTAAACGGACTTGGAGTGAACTCCCTGTCTGTAACTCACTTGTAGGGTAGGATCGACAAAGCTACAAGGAAATCTTTGCATTGATCTTGAGCAGACGCAGCGACAGCACTTCAATTATAACCAGCCAGAGTTCTTAAGGAATAGTGCAT